CCCATCTCTCTCCTTGCCGCGCCTGCTGGCGTGGGGGGGGAGGGTGAGGGGGTGACGGGGGTGACCAGCAAACCGCCACCAGCTGCCCTCCTCTCTTCCTTTCTCTCCTTGCCGCACTTGCTTCTGTGGGGGGGGGGGGGGGGGGGAGAGGGGGAGGGAGAAGGGTAAGGGGGTGGCGTGAAAGTCCAGCAGCAGCCCTCTCTCCTCTACTCTCTCTCCCTCCAGCGCCTGACGTTGTGGGGGAAAGGGGGGGTGTGAGGGGGTGGCGAGAGAGATCCTGTTGAGCCAGCAGCCGCCCCTCCTCCTCTCTCTCTCACAGCTGCATGTGCCACTGTGGGGGGGAGGGTGAGGCGGTGGCGGAAGTCAGCCAGGCATCTGCACTTGCCGCCCGCTGCTACCGTGGCACCTCCAACCGCCGCCCCTGCCTCCACCTGCTGTTTCTTTTGTTTTCTGTCCGCTGCTGTTGGTTGGCAGGTGCTGCCGTTGAGCCTTGCTGTGCCGCCGCCCTTGCCGCCGCACGCTCCTGCTCTCCAGGCGACCTGCCGCCACATGCACCTACTTCTGCTGTGCCGCCGCCCTTGCCGCCGCACGCTCCTGGTTCTACTGCTTCAACCTTGGCGGAGGGGTTGGTGCAATTGAATCTGCTACCACTGCACCGGTTGTCACTTCTCTTGCCTGCTGTTGTTGTTTTCTCTGCACTTGGTGTACCCCTGCAGGAGGAGTACTGCACATGGTTCTAGCTGTAGGCATTTAGGGGGTGTGTTGAAATGTATTCGTATACATTTATAACTGCCTACAATAGAACCGAGTGTAGTTATACGATCTTGTAGGTGGTGTACCATTGTTTCCTCTTTTTCCTATATCTTGTACCCTTGTTCATTATTGAAACCCTCTTTGGCTTGCTCAACTCTCTCGACACTCACGCTAGTACCCTCAAACCCTAGTTATGGCTTCCTAGCCTATGAGCTTACTTTGACACCCGGTTCTAATTGTATTCGGTGATCATGCGCCCGCTGAGGTGGCAGTTCCTCTGGTAAATCGTCCGGAAAAATCCCCGGGTACCGTTTCGACAGTTCCTGTAGTTCGGGCGGTACCGCTGCTAGCAGTTTCTGAAAATCACTCGGCTGCTCCGCTTCTCCTACCAATGCGATATCCGCCGCGTACACGTCGGCTCCAGCGGCAACAGCCCGTTTCATTATGATGGCGTTGACGTAGACCGTTGAAGATTCGGGCAACTGCCAGCGAGGTAGCTCGACCCAGTTACCGCTACTTCGCACAGTGCAGCTACCCGTCCTCCAGTCGATTCGCGGATTGTAGCGTTGCAGCCAATCACGTCCCAGTAAAATGTTGTGCTCATCCAGTGTCGTCGTGAGCATTTCCTGTGTAAACCGGAAGTTTCTCCCGCAGCAGACTTTTACTCTCTCCACCTTTTCCCGTATGCCCAGCGGTGTGCCATCGACTAAGCGTGCATCTATCTCCGGTAAACACCGACTAAGTGTCAGTGGCAGCTTCCGTGCGGTTGCGGTATTAACTAAGCTATGACTTGCTCCTCCGTCTATAAGAATCTTCACTACTGCTCCCTGGATTTTCCTGTGAATCAGTACTGGGCAATCAGTTGCTGTACCCTCCTTATTCACCCGAGCCCGATCGATAGCATGAATCGGTACTGTGACTCGGTGAGGGTCAGTGAGGTTGGGCGAGCAGGTTGTCTCGTCACTAGTTGGCCCGATTTCTACTAACTGCTGGCGTTTCCCTGCCTCTGAGAATCCCTCCCCTGCTCTGCTCCGCGGCGCCTCAGCTCCTCTGGGCATTCGCTCTTGCGATGGCCCGGCCTGTTACAAGCAAAGCAGCGGCCCTTAAATGGCACGGCAGCTGCATTCGCTGCAACGGCGTATACAGTGGCGTGCTCGGCCGGTCCCCGAGAACGTTGTCCGTAGTAGAACCCCGGTCTCGGTCGGCGAGCGCGAGGATCTCGTTGAAGTTCGAGAGCCTGCGTAGCATGATTTTGTGCGTGATGTCCGGCTTCAGCCCTCCGACGTAACGGTCTACTGCTCCGCTTCGTGCATGTAGCCGAATTGCTCGCATAATGCGAGGAAACCGCTCGTGTAGTCTTGGACCGACCCGAGTTGTCGCCAAGTACGCAGTCGCCCGCCGCGACGAAATAGAAGCCGCAACCGGCTCGAAGCGCGTCAGAAGCCCTGCGCACCACGCATCCCACGTGCGGTACTGGGCGGTTTCGCAGAAAGAACTCCATGTGACGGCTGGACTCGAGGGCCCTCCCTCTTGCGATGGCGGCTCATAGGCGTGTGGCGACGTCACGATGACTCGCCACCAGTCCATGGCGGGGCTCCTCAGCAGCGAAAGTGCGTAGCGAATCTTCGCTGCGTCCGACTCGACGTAATTCGCGTCGAAGAAAATGTTCATCGTGAAAACCCACGATTGAGCTGTCGAACCTCCACGTTGGCTAGGATCGAAGCAGGGCGGGCGCTGCGGCTTGAGTGGCATCGGCGCCATGATGTCGTTGTTGCCACTCGTTGCGGCGAACTCCACGTGCCGGCGGATTTCGCGAGGCCCTTGTGTGCCTGTTGCGGCCCTGTTCCTCTCCATGCCAGGCATTGAGGGAGCGGTGCCATCACTGGCTACGCCTGAGCGTTGTCCTACGCTGTCGTTCTGTGTCGGTGTGCCCTCTTTTCCCGTCGCCCGCCGCGACGCCCTGGGGGGCCGCGGGCCGCACGTCGGAGCAGCCGCCCCTGGTGCAGCCGCCCCTGGAGCACCCGCCCCTGGTGCAGCCGCCCCTGGACCTCAGCAGCCGCCCCTGGCCCCTGGAGCAGCCGCCCCTGGTGCAGCCGCCCCTGGACCCCGCGACGCCGCCCCTGGACCCCACGGTGCCGACCCTGCAGCTGCATGCGACGCCGTTCCTGGACCCTGTGCTGCCCATTGCCGCCCGTTGCTGCCCGTGCCTGTGCTGCCCGTTGCTGCTCTCCCCCCCCCTCCCCCCCCCCCTCCCCTTCTTCGTCTCCCTGCTGCGCGTGCAGCCGTGGAACGGAGGGTCTGGGGGTGGCGGGTATGGGGGTGATGGGTGGTATGTTTCCCTTCCCCTCCTCCTCCTTTCGTTCCCACTGCTGCAGCTGCCGCTGGGGGGAGGGTGTGAGGGTGTGGGGGAGCCAGGGGAGTGGCATTGGGGTGGCGGGTGTGAGACCAATCAGCCCCCGTCCCTCTGAGGTGGGGGGGGGGGGGGAGGAGAGTAAAGGGGTGGCAGGAGTGCCTGCCCCTTTGCTGCTGTACCTGCTTTGTTACCTTGCCTGCTGTTGCTGTTTTCTCTGTTCGTGGTGTACCCATCCAGGATGTGTCGCTGCACAGACTCCTGCTGCAGGCAGTTATGGGGGAGTGTTAGAATATATCTGTAACTGCCTGTAGCTGTAGTTAGTGTAGTTATTATAAACTTGTTGGTGGTGCACCTTCTTTGCATGCTTTGTTTGTTATTTGTACCTCGCTCCATAGTGAACTCCCCCCTCTTTTGCCTAAACTATCTCGACTCCCTTTGGCCTAGGCTACTAAGCCTAGGCCCTACTCTTTCTATTCAACATGAAGGTGTGGGTGCGGTCCGAGAGGAGATCGTAGGCTCTGAATACCAAGTGTTACGAGTGCAATTGAGCGAGCGAGCGAGAATTGCACTATTGAAGCAAAACAATACAACGAGCGAAGGCATGCGCGAAGAATATATAGCGAACTAGAGTGGTAACGGTAACGTGAGGACTTGGGGTGCGCTACGGGCCTAGCGCCGAGGTTGGGATATGTCGAGGCGGAGGTCCGGAGCGTGGGTTACCAACCGAACTGTGAGGTTGGGTCGCGTCGTGAACAGTGGCGGGAGTCGTAGTCGAGGCGAGTGTCGCGAGCGGGGTGTTTCACTGTTTGGGTGCCGATGGCGGGAATGGTCTTGTGCGCGGTAAGCAGGGGCGCGGAGTAAGGAAAAGGAATTTTCCTTCACAGGGTCTGGAAAAGTTGCATAAATCCACTGGAGTAATGTACAGTAAGAATATTCGTTGGCGTTGAAGACTGCCTAAGCGTTATCAAATCGCTAAGTTCGAAGATCTAATAACGGCTCCTTCAACAAAACCACAAGCACTGGCACGTGGCGCACATGGCTGGTGAGTGGCAGTTTGCTGGGGAAACGTGACAGAAGAACCCCCACCTGAAGACCAGCGATCAAGCCCCCTCGAAGTTATCGAAATGCCCACTTGGTCAAACGGAATGGATACCCAGTTGACGATCGTCGTCGAGATGTCGCTAAAATTCGCAGGCTCAAACGTTCCCTTTCAGGCCCAGTGGCGGTTTTAGTCTCAGCTCAAGTCTGATCTGATTTTTGTTATGTAGCACCAAACACAATTAGTCTAGGAATCATGTGCCTTCCTGGCAATGCCCAGAAGGTCTAGTCTAGTCACACCAAAGCCTGGCTGCTCAAAGTCATGGCAGCTCGATGTTAGGCGTCCCGATGGTTCGTAAGAACTATAATTAGTCTAGAGGTTTTAATTGCAAAGCGCGTGATCTAGTTTCGTCGCTTTTCACTTCACTCGGTAGCAATCGTCCGAGTTCACGAGATTAGGATCCGAGCAGACGCGAGGCTCGCGTCACTTCAGATCACCTCGCAGATCGTCTGACACGAAGCGAGATTACCACTTTACAAGGAAAGACAGGGCCACTTTACGCTAGGAGATAAGAGCCAATTTACGCGAGTAGAGATCATCGTATACATCACATCCCGCCGTCTGTTGGAAATATCGCGGGCCGGAATGAATTCCTATGGCATGCCGCCAGGTGGCGGCCCGTCCGGTGGTCCTGGTGGTGGTAACCCGCTGGGTAACATGCCCGGCGGGAGGCGAAGAGAAGTCTGGCGAATTGTCAGCGATCCGAACATTCACCTCGGTAGAGTCACAAATCCGGACGTATACTCGCAACCGAAGGGAATTCCGGACGGCATGCCGAATTATCCCGGAGGACCCATGGGTTCAGGCGGCGGCTCCGGAATACCTGGGATGGCGATGCGCGGATTAGGAGGTCCCTCTCAGGAGCAGATCCCGCCTGGATACTACCGACCCGCCGGCGGCGGCAGCGGCGGGGGAGGAGGAGGATATGGACGGGTGAACAGTGCCTACGGCCGCGGAGACGGGGGAGGAAAAGGGAGCACCAGCGGAGGAGGAGGGGGAGGGGGAGGGGGAGGCGGAGGTGGAGGGGGAAACGGCGGAGGGGGGCCTCCGCGGCAGGTATACCAGCTTCCGCAGTACAGAGGGCGTGGCCGGAACAGCCGACCGTACGGGCAGGCGGAGCAAAACCTGGATGGATCTGCCTCAGGCCCAGGATTAGGGTCCGGGCCACCTGGGGGTTTAGAGAACGGCGAAGCGACGGGCGTGAGGCAGTCGCACGCGAGCGGCAGCAGCACGTCGTCGAGTCTGTCGCAGGAGGTGCGTTCGGACGGGCTTAGGGCGTGCGACACTTGTGAGAATTCCATGCACAAGCACGCACACAACCAGCAGCAGCACGTCGTCGAGTCTGTCGCAGGAGGTGTGCTCCGTCTGTCGTGGGACATGCGGCGTCCGGCAAAATTGTTTCTCTTTCTCACGGCTTTCTGATAACTGCACGATGTTTCCAGCAGTAGTACACGTGGTTTTTGTCCTGTACGAACTTCCAGGACAATACATGGATGGGGGGAGGATGACGCATACCCAATATGGCAACTCTCCTACGGTTTGTGTGCCTGCTGCCCTTTCGTGTGAGCAGGAAGACAACCAATCACGAAGGCAGCAGCAGCAACAGCTGCAGGAGCAACCACACGATTATAACGGTCAACTGCAGGCGCAGCAGCAGGCAGAGCAACAGCAGCAGCAGCAAGAAGCGGATGTTGCAAGTCAGCAGCACACGCAGCACGAGCAGCAACCGTATCCTTCGAGCAACGGACAGGGCGAAGATGTGTCTTCTGCAGTGGATCGCCAAGAGAACGACAATTTCAACAGCCAGCAGCCGCAGCAACAGTTCGAACAGCAGCAGGAGCAGCAGGAGCAGCAGGAGCAGCAGGAGCAGGAGCAGGAGCAGGAGCAGCAGGAGCAAGCGGAGCAGTCAGAGGAGGAGAAGGAAGTACAGGTAGACGGAGGGGAGGCAGACAGACAGGTGGACATAGCCAGCATCGCCATGCCCAGCGCGGGAGTCTCACCAGCCCGAGGAGCCAATCACAAGGACGTGCGGCAGTTGGAAGAGGAGGGGCGCGCGCTGCTGGGGCTGGGGGAGGCGGAGCTGCGCGCGCTGCTGGCGGAAGCGGAAACCGCGCGCGAGGCAGCGATCCGCGCGGAGGTGGCGCGCGCAGCGGCCCTTGTGGCGCGCGTGGAGGTGGGGAGAGCAAGGGCGGAGTTTGATGCGGAGAGGCAGCAGCTTCTGGCGGCGGAAGCGGTGCTCAAGGTGGGCGGGGACTTGCTGGTCCTTGTTCTTCCCCTTCCCCTCGTTTTTCCCCCCAGCCTTGCGCCAGCCCCCTTGTCACCACCCTCCCCTACCTCTCTTTTCCTCTGGTGGCCCTTTCATGTCGAATACAGCACACAATCCGCAAATCGGACGTGCGTGTTTTGCTCATAGTAGTGATGGTCAAACCACGTCCCTCCCTCCCTCCTCCTTCCGCCCTCTCCCTTCCTCCTCCTCTTCCGCCCCCATCCTTCCTTCCCGCCCTGCTCCTCCGCAGAGTCAACTGGCGGGTGCGCTGGAGGCAGTGCGGGGCAAGGAGGAGGAGATGCAGCGCGTGAAGGAGAGGGCGGAGGAGGCGGAGCAACAGGTGGCGGCTCACCAGAACGAGATGAAGGAACGGGTGAGAGAGGCTCGTTTGAGACGTCTTGTACTCATATCTAGCAGCATACTCTGAGACGTTTCGTTTCTTAAAAGAATGCATTCTTTGCTTCATTGCTGTCTGATGGGAACTTTGGCAGGTGTGGCAGAAAGAAGGCCTTATTCGAGAGAAGAACTCCGAAGTGGCAGCGCTGAGGTGAGAGTGGGGAGCACTGTGTGTGTGTGACCTTGCAGTGAGGGGGGTGGGCGGTATGTGCAGGACGGGGAACAGAGGTGAGCGGTGTTATTGCTGTTATTGCTTTTCATTGCTGTTGCTCTCCCCTTTCGCTCCCTCTTCCTCCTCCCACGTCCCCCGCATGTCCTTTGCGTGCCATCAAGCCAGGCGGAACGCTTGCCACGCTTGCTGCTGCTCCTTACAACATTCCTCCCTTTCTTGCTCCTCACTATGCTTCCATTCAAATGTCTCCCCCCTCCTCCCATCACGGCAGGCGGGAGCGGGACGGGGCAGTGGCGGAGAGCAAGGCGCAGGCGAGTCAGAGGGAAGCGGAGAGGGGTGAATTACAGGCTCCTCCCTTCTTTCCCCCTTCTCCCTTGTCCTCCCATCACTGCAGGCGGGAGCGCGATGGGGCAGTGGCGGAGAGCAAGGCGCAGGCGAGTCAGAGGGAGGCGGAGAGGGCGGAGATGGGCGCGCAGATGGAGCGGCTACAGAGCCAGGTGGCGGACGCTGAGCAGCGCCTGAGAGACACGCAGAACCAGGTAAAGGGGGAAGAGGGGCCGGGGAGTGGGATACGGGGGAGGGCATGAGAGGGCGGAGATGGGCGCGCAGATGGAGAGGCTGCAGAGCCAGGTGGCGGACGCGGAGCAGCGGCTGCGCGACACACAGAACCAAGTGAGAGAGGAGTGATAGGGGGAGAGGAACTGCAGACTAGCAAGGGACTTGCAGTTCCAGAAACGAGCTACTGTTGCTCTTTTCGTGGCGGTCTGCCTTCCTGCCACTTATTTCCGTGGTAGGAAGGTCAGGAGGGGAGGTGCAGGAGGAGCTGTGGCGGGAAGAGGGTGCAGTGAAGGAGGCACAGGGTTGTGACGTCTCAAAAGAGGATGCAGTGAAGGAGACTTTTGTGACGTCTCAAAAGAGGATGCAGTGAAGGAGACTTTTGTGACGTCTCAAAAGAGGATGCAGTGAAGGAGACTTTTGTGACGTCTCAAAAGAGGATGCAGTGAAGGAGACTTTTGTGACGTCTCAAAAGAGGATGCAGTGAAGGAGACTTTTGAGACGTCTCAAAAGAGGATGCAGTGAAGGAGACTTTTGAGACGTCTCAAAAGAGGATGCAGTGAAGGAGGCACGGGATTGTGTGTTGTGCAGGGCCATAGGTAAATGTACCTGTGTGTATTCATATCGCGCTGTCGCTGTTCCCTCTCTCTCCCTTCCCTTTTCCCTCAGCTGCGGCTGGTACAAGAGGAGCTGTGGCAGAAGGAGGATGCGGTGAAGGAGGCGCAGGGGTGGGCGGCACATGGGCAGGACATGGAGGCCCACGTGGCAGCCATCACAGCAGCCAATCTGAGTCTGCATGGGGAACTCCGGGAGCGCACGGACCAGTGCCACCACCTGTTTGCCGTCACGCACCAGCTCAGGCAACAGGTTGGTTGAGGGCAGAGTGGGTCAATGGGTGGCTGAGTGGGTGTCGACTGGTTGGCAAATTGGTGGGATCAACAGCTGAGGGAGCGCACGGACCAGTGCCACCACCTGTTTGCCGTCACGCACCAGCTCAGGCAACAGGTTGGTTGAGGGCAGAGTGGGTCAATGGGTGGCTGAGTGGGTGTCGACTGGTTGGCAAATTGGTGGGATCAACAGCTGAGGGAGCGCACGAACCAGTGCCACCACCTGTTTGCCGTCACGCACCAGCTCAGGCAACAGGTTGGTTGAGGGCAGAGTGGGTCAATGGATGGCTGAGTGGGTGTCGACTGGTTGGCAAATTGGTGGGATCAACAGCTGAGGGAGCGCACGGACCAGTGCCACCACCTGTTTGCCGTCACGCACCAGCTCAGGCAACAGGTTGGTTGAGGGCAGAGTGGGTCAATGGGTGGCTGAGTGGGTGTCGACTGGTTGGCAAATTGGTGGGATCAACAGCTGAGGGAGCGCACGAACCAGTGCCACCACCTGTTTGCCGTCACGCACCAGCTCAGGCAACAGGTTGGTTGAGGGCAGAGTGGGTCAATGGGTGGCTGAGTGGGTGTCGACTGGTTGGCAAATTGGTGGGATCAACAGCTGAGGGAGCGCACGGACCATTGCCACCACCTGTTTGCCGTCACGCACCAGCTCAGGCAACAGGTTGGTTGAGGGCAGAGTGGGTCAATGGATGGCTGAGTGGGTGTCGACTGGTTGGCAAATTGGTGGGATCAACAGCTGAGGGAGCGCACGGACCAGTGCCACCACCTGTTTGCTGTCACGCACCAGCTCAGGCAACAGGTTGGTTGAGGGCAGAGTGGGTCAATGGATGGCTGAGTGGGTGTCGACTGGTTGGCAAATTGGTGGGATCAACAGCTGAGGGAGCGCACGAACCAGTGCCACCACCTGTTTGCCGTCACGCACCAGCTCAGGCAACAGGCTGGTTGAGGGCAGAGTGGGTCAATGGGTGGCTGAGTGGGTGTCGACTGGTTGGCAAATTGGTGGGATCAACAGCTGAGGGAGCGCACGGACCATTGCCACCACCTGTTTGCCGTCACGCACCAGCTCAGGCAACAGGTTGGTTGAGGGCAGAGTGGGTCAATGGGTGGCTGAGTGGGTGTCGACTGGTTGGCAAATTGGTGGGATCAACAGCTGAGGGAGCGCACGGACCATTGCCACCACCTGTTTGCCGTCACGCACCAGCTCAGGCAACAGGTTGGTTGAGGGCAGAGTGGGTCAATGGGTGGCTGAGTGGGTGTCGACTGGTTGGCAAATTGGTGGGATCAACAGCTGAGGGAGCGCACGGACCATTGCCACCACCTGTTTGCCGTCACGCACCAGCTCAGGCAACAGGTTGGTTGAGGGCAGAGTGGGTCAATGGGTGGCTGAGTGGGTGTCGACTGGTTGGCAAATTGGTGGGATCAACAGCCGAGGGAGCGCACGGACCAGTGCCACCACCTGTTTGCTGTCACGCACCAGCTCAGGCAACAGGTTGGTTGAGGGCAGAGTGGGTCAATGGATGGCTGAGTGGGTGTAGACTGGTTGGCAAATTGGTGGGATCAACAGCTGAGGGAGCGCACGGACCAGTGCCACCACCTGTTTGCTGTCACGCACCAGCTCAGGCAACAGGTTGGTTGAGGGCAGAGTGGGTCAATGGATGGCTGAGTGGGTGTCGACTGGTTGGCAAATTGGTGGGATCAACAGCTGAGGGAGCGCACGGACCAGTGCCACCACCTGTTTGCCGTCACGCACCAGCTCAGGCAGCAGGTGGGTGGGTGGATGGGTGGTTGATTGGTGAGTGAGTGGGTTGGTTGGTTGGGTGTTCTCGATGTGCCTCAACAGCTCAGGGAAAGCACCGACCAGTGCCGCCACCTCTTTGCTGTCACGCACCAGCTCAGGCAACAGGTGGGTGGGTGGATGGGTGGGTGGGTGGGTGGGTGACACTCTGTTAAATGGGTTGGGTGTTATTGAGACGCCTCAATACTGGCAGAGAGTGGGCGGTATCGCACACATGCAGCTGATGCAGCGTGCTCGCTCGCGGTGATGCTCATGTGGCATGCAAACCGCTTTTCCAACTCCCTCCCACCTTACCTTGCCGTTTCCACCCTGTCTCCCCACCAGCTGGCAGAGAGTGAGCGGTACCACATGCAGCTGATGCAGCGCCTGCACCATGGAGAATTGTAAGCCAGTTGAAGAATCATCTGACCAGATGTGCCACACATGAATGTCCCTCTGCTCGCACCCCCATCCCACCCCTTTCCCCCACTGAAACACCAGCTAGCGGAGAGTGAGCGCTACCACATGCAGCTGATGCAGCGCCTGCACATGGAGAACACGGACCTGCGCTCCAGGCTCGGCGCCCTCCCGGCCGCTGCTCCGGGTGCTGCTGGCTCGACAGTGCCAGGCTCGGCAGCAGGAGCAGGAGCAGCTGGTGCTGGTGTGGGTACAGGAGGAGGCGCAGTGAATGCTGTAGGCAATGCGACTGCAGGAGGGCAGGCAGCAGCAGCAGGAGGAGGAGGCACGCTGGGGACAACTGGAGGGGACATTGGAGGAGGCGCAGGAGCAGGGAGAGATGCAGGAGGGGTTGTGCAAGGAGCTGGGGTAGCATTGGGTGGCGCTGGTGGTGCTGCTGGTGGTGGTGCTGGGGGCAACAAGGACGGGAAGGTGAGTTTCAGGGGCCATGGGACAAGCATGTGACAAGGCATGGGACAAGCATGTGACAAGGCATGGGACAAGGCATGGGACAGACGTGCCATTGTACTAAGAGCTTAATTTTGAAAGCCGTGTTGTTCCTGCTTTTCCGCTCCTCTGTTCGCTCCCTCTCGCTCGTCACTCCTCCATCCTTCTACATTTTCCCCTCCCCGATTCTTGTTTCTCTCTCTTACCCCCTTTCCTAACCTGCCCCAATCATGTTTCGCATTTCTGTGTGTGTCTGTCTCTCTCCCATGCTCCCATACTTCCCCCACAGAGCGAAGCAGCAGCTGCACAGGCAGGACAGGCCCACCCGCCCATGGCTCCACACGCCTATCTCATCCGCCCACTCATGCCCCACCCCTTCTACGCTGCACCCATGCCAACCGTGCCCACACCCATTCAGCCTGGCCCCACACCCATGCAAACCGTGCCCACACCCATTCAGCCTGGCCCCACACCCATGCAACCCGTGCCTATGCTTGTTCCTCACTCCGCCTCTCCCCCAGCCGTGCACCCTCTGCATCCTCACCCCTCCGCCCTCCCTCCTGCCGCTTACCCCCCTGCTTCCATGCAAGGGCAGCAAGCAGCACAGGCTGCAGGAGTGCAGACGGGGGTTGCAGTTACAGGGCTACCAGGGCAGAACCAGCAGCACATGGAGAACCAGGGACAGGGACACGGGCATGGGCAGGGGCAGATGCAGATGCATGGGCAGGGGCAAACACATGCGCAGGCACCAAATCCGCAGGGGCAACAGCCAAGCCAGCAGCAGCAAGCGGTGGTGATGCATCATATCACCCACCCCATGAGCAACCAGCCTCTCCCCCTGAACCCCACACCCCAGCAGCAACAGCAGCAGCAGCAGCAGCAGCAGCAGCAGCAGCAGCAGCAGCAGCAGCAGCAGCAGCAGCAGCAGCAGCAGCAGCAGCAGCAGCAGCAGCAGCAGCAGCATGCGAGCAGCCTTACCTTCGGTTCTGGTCCCAGCAATGGGCCAAGTAACAGCAACAGCACTGGTGGCACAGGGGAAAAGGGCAGGGAGAGCGGTGGCAGCAGCAGCTCAAGTGGTCAAGCCCCAGTAGGCGAGCGTGGAAATGGCCACATGGGCAACAGCAGTGCTGATGCTACTCCAGGAGACAGTTTTTCCAAAGGCGGCTCCTCCAGTGCCTCTCCTGACTCCTCCGGTTCTAGCAGCAGCTATGCTGGCGCCAGCACCAGCATGAGCAACAGCAACAGCAATGCGGGCCAGAGTCTCCCAACCAGTGCTGCTGCCTCCTCTGCCACTCATACCGCTGCTTCTGATACCCCTGCTGCTGATACCCCGGCCACTAAAGCTGCTGCTGCTGCTGCTGCACCTAGGAAGCTCGCTGCCAGTCCCATCACGCAGCGATCGCCACCCCGAGGGGTGGACGTGGGGTTGGGGGGCGTGGCATACGTGCCGGAACGCCCAAGTGCGGAGGCCTCAAGTGCAGCAGAATCAGGCACGGAAGGTCAAGCGGGAATTGAAGGGAAAGGTGGGATTGAACCCCTTCCTGTGTCGGCTGTGCTGGGAGCATGGAGCAGTGTGGGAGAGAAAACAGAGGGTGCTGGACCAGCTAGCATCGACGCGACACCAGCAGCAGCAGCACATTCTGCACCCACACCCCTCGCAGCACCGCCAACAGCACGCCCCATGCCCATGATGCCCCCGCTGCCCCCGGGGGCACAGCTGAAAGACGAGAGGGCGCTGCTGACGTGCATAGTGCGAACCCTTTCAGCAGATAGAGGCGCCAAGGCTCTCATCTCCTCCACTGTCGCCCCCCGCCTCGCCCGCTTGCTTGCCCCGTTGACCTGGGCTCACTACGAGCCGCTGTACGGGTCGCTGCACCAGCTTATCGCCTCCAAACCCGAGGTACGTACCTCCACTGTTGCCCCGTGCCTCGCTTGTTTCCTCACTACGTTAACCTGGGCGCACTACGAGCTGAGCTCATCGCATCCAAGCCTGAGGTACGTGCCTCCATTGTTGCCCCCCGCCTCCCCCGCTTGCTCGCTGCGCCAACCTGGGTGCATTACGAGCCGCTCTACGGGTCGCTGCACCAGCTTATTGCCTCCAAACCCGAGGTACGCGGCACCTTCATAGTGTACGGGTCGGGTCCAACCTGTTAAGACGGAACAACCTGAAGAGTTGTCTGCCACCACTACTGGCATCTGTTGCCTTGCCCTCTCTGTCCTTCCCTCCCCTGAGCAGTTGTGTGGCATGGAGGAACCGGACCATGCGCTTCTGAGTGACTTTTGAGACGTCTCAAAAGTCTGAGTGCAAGTAGACAACTGTTGAGACAGATGTGTTTTTCTAACGATCTCTGCTCCACCACATGCATCTGTTCTAACACAATTTCTTGTCGTCTCTCCCCCCATCTCTCCCGTGAACAGCTGTTTGGCATGGAGGGACCGGACCATGTGTTCCTGAGGAGCAACGCCCATGCCATCATCGCCACACTCCCCCTCCACCCCACCATGCCCCTCCCCCATCCCTCCTCCTCAATCCCCTCCCCTGCCGCCTCCCTGCCCCTCGCCCTCACCCCTGCCGCCCCCCGTCCCCTTGCTCCTCGCTCACCCCCACCTGATGCTTCCATTCCTGCTGGTGCTGTAGCCAATCCCGGTGCGATTTCTAACCCTGCTTCTTCTTCTTCTGCCGCCGCTGCTGCTACGGGTGGCAGTGGGGGTGGAGGGGGCAGTGAGGAAGGTGTGTCGAGGCGCGAGGTGGTAGGGCCGGGGGTGGAAGGGGCGGGGCGGGGCAGTCGCCTCTGGTTCGCCAATTCTGCTCGGTAATGCAGTGGAGGTTGAAGGGGCTTTAGTTTACAGTCCACTCAAGAAGGAATGGGGAGAGGCAGTCCCCTCTGGTTTGCCAATGCTGCTCGGTAGTGCGGTGGAGGTCGAAGCGGTTTTAGAGTCGACTCAAGAAGGGTGGGGGCAAGGCAGTCGCTTGTGGATGCGGCTTGAAGTGTGAAGCGTGAAGGGATGAACCAGGGCGGTAGCAGGGTGAGATGGGATGAAGATGGGGTGATTTGCAGCGGTTACCATGGGGTTGCTGGGAGAATCTGGGCTGTGCTTGTGGAGAGGAGAATCTGGGGCTCGAGAGGTAGCAAGAGTGGGCTGATGAGTAGGACGAGGCTGTTGCTGCGACGAGGCAATTTTGGTTGTATCTCCTTCCTTCCCAGTGCTGCTGGGTTACCGGTATTAGTTTGAAGCTTGAAGTGTAATTACAGGCACTAGTCTCTGTCCTTCAGGAAGTAGGTACAGTATGTTCTAGCAAGATGACTGAACCTGAAATAGCGAACTTGCAAGGCTGGGATTCACTGACAGTACCGTCACGATGTGCGTCTTTTCTGGGAAGTGGTATCCTTACCATGGTTTGTTACCATGGCAACATCACTACCTAACAGCAGCATACACGCCAAATTCCACTGTATTGAACTCCATGGGTACCCCTACTGCTCTCACCACATTCCTGCAATGAACAGAGAGGTATGGGCCACATGCATGAAGGAAATAACAACCAATCGTGTAGAAGCTGAGATGAGCCATGTGACATGGCAGGTGGCATCACATGTGGAAGCAACAGGAAAGGCAAGCATGAGCACAAAAGGACTCTCTGGCAGGGCCCATAGACACTGTGGATGGGCATGGTGTGTGGACGGCCACATGGGGAGTGACTCACTGGCAGGGCCTGTAGCTGTTGATGTGGGAAGTGAAAGGAAAGGATGTACTATGGGCGTCGTATAAAGTGTGGAAGGCCACGTGGGCAGCAAGTGACTCACTGGCGGGGACCATAAATGTTGATCTGTCTGATGTGCGTGTCACGGCCGTTCTGGTGGTTGGAGATGACTGCCAGCTGCAGGTAGAACGCTCGCAGGTACTCCCTGGGATGGCGCAGATGGGGGAAGGAGGGGGGAGGGGGGAGGTGTTGAAGATGCGGCGCATGGTTGACTCTGTGGTATGGCAGCATGTGACTACATTGACGCTGGTGGTTCGAGATAACTGCCAGCTGCAGGTGGAATGCCCGCAGGTACTCCCTGGGGTGGCACGGGTGGGCATGGAGAAGGTAAGGGGAAGTGGGGAAGATTGATACTGCTATATTGATTCAGATTGACTGTGGAGGTTGGAGATGACTGCCAGTTGACCAGTCGATACAGTAGAACGCACGCAGGTACACCCTGGGGTGGCACAGATGGGCACGGGAGGGGTGCATGCATGACGAGAATAAGAAGCAAGGTTGGTGACCGTGGTTCAAAAGGGGCAGGGACAGGCATGCAGCACTTGCCGTTGAGATCCCTCCAAAGCAACTGAGCTGTCATTCACCGGTCAGTCACAGCGGGATATGCAGCGAGACCAACCACTCCCCCCCATGGTGACTCACCTGTCATCACTGGGTCGCAGCGGTATGTGCACCCACCCAGATGGCTCATTCATCTCCACTAGCTTCACCTCCTGCCATCGTACAACGCATCACATGTGAGGCACAAGTGCCATTGGTGAGATGTGCACCATAAGTGAAGCATCACTACGGGGAGCATCATAGCGAGCATGCCATCAAGCGAACGCCATGATGATGTCACGGGAAGCATCGTTGTGAGCATGAACAGTATGTCCATTTGAGATGCTACCGGGAGCACCATGAGCATTGCCATGCAGGCACCATGAGCATTGCCATGCAGGCACCATGAGCAGCATTGCCCGCCCTGAGAAGTGCACCCACCTTGACGTCGTGGAAGGAGTTGCCAGCTCGAATGGACACCTTGTTGGGCGTGTAGCTCTCGTCCAGCTTGAAATCCACGTGCAGTGACACATGCTGGTGGGGTGGGTGGGGGTGGTGGGGGGGGGGAGGGTGTTGAGGGGGGGTGTCAAGCACAGGCCTTTTGAGGCGCCTTAAAAGGGTGTCAAGCACAGGCCACAAAGCAACAGTGCAACAGAGCACAGCACACAGCTCTCGTCCAGCTTGAATCCACGTGCAGTGACACGTGCTGGGGGTGGGGGCGAAGGTGAGGGGGGATGATGAACCGAAAGGCAGAACGCTCCTGTGCACTGGCTCCATACATAACTGAAAGGTGGAAGTGGTAACCATGTCATTGCAAAAACCAATCACTTACCTGCAACCGGACCTTCTTTTGAAACTGGATGTTCACCAAGTGTGGTTGTGATCCATCTGACCTGCACACACACGGGAAAGGAATGTTGGCACTTAGCAATACGTACCAGGAAAAAAAAAACACTGAAAAAAAAAGGGTTGCAGGGTCCACGCTGGAAATTCGATTCAGTTGATTGTAAGCATCAGCTTCGCACATATCTTCCAATTCTTAACTGCCAGAACGTGTCCGCCTTTCCGTCCCGCAGAAGCTCGACGCCATTGCCGGGTTTGGCGGAGCTCACACTCCACTCTGCCAAGTGCCCTATCTCCCGCCGGTCCTCCCCATCGTCTGGTAGACTCCCCACGCTGACGTCAGCCACCTCTGCTCTGCGCGGGAAGCACGAAATTGAGGGAACGAGAGGGAAAAGCGTAAGGGGAGAGATAAAAATCACTGATGGTTTGTTCTGGCGATTAAAGATAGTTGTGATCTCGGGTATTAGACACAGCTGAACGAAGCGTGCATCTGCAGACAGGTAAGGAACGAGCAGGAAATTTGAACGAAGTTTTCACCTGCTGCAGCCATTCTCCGTCTCCGGAGATGACGGCGATGGACGATGGACGATGGAAGAACCCACAGCGATGATGTGCGACGCTACGCGACGGCTCAAGTCAGGTCACCCTTCGCCACTGTCGCTTCAACGGGGGTATAATGGGGATGCCTTGACGACAGTCGTTAGAGGTGTAAGCTGGAACGGGACAGATTTTGTTCTTCGGAGAATCAACTATGCCGAGACGCGACGCGAATGGTGTGTGCCTGACAATGAACTCACTTGAACTGCTGAGAAAGAAATTTGAGTTTCCTACTGTGCGTAGATTGGAGAAGTGAGTTAAAGCTTCAGTACCGAATCAGTACCGCAATGTACCCATCTCCAGACCTGTCGAAAATACGACCCCATCGAAAGATTCGCGAAAGTAAAAATGCAGAAAATGAATGAAATTCTGGTCACGTTACAGGTTACTGGAGCATACTCAAGCGGGTTTCATTGCTAGCCCCACATTTTTGGCGCTTCCCTACATGTCCTCGCCGCTTTCAGCTTGTGCGCACGTCATGTGCTGCGCATAGCACAGCTCGTGCGCGCACGCAATGCAGGAGGCGCTGCGGTATCCGTGGCGCGTCGCGAACCGCATCACTGTAGGCCGTGGCGTGGACGTGAGGCTCGGGGGGCAGAGACGCTGCGCTGTGCGCTTTGCGCGAGCGCGATCGACAGCGACAGCAAGAGCAACCATGAGGGTGTTCACTGCGGAGCAAGTCCACCGCGCGCTGCCATACGACGGTGAGCGATGGGCAGGCGGAGCGACGGGCGGGCGGAGCGACGGGCGGCGGATTGATGAGCGATGGGAGATAGGTTGTGACACCTGTGAGTGAATGAGTGTTCGATTCGAGGCCGATTGAGCATCTCCGCGACGCTTCCCCCCTATCCCCTCTTGCCCCGCCTGTGCCCCCTTTCCCCGCCCCCAGCACTCATTGAGCATCTCCTCGAGGCCTTCCGCGCCTCCAGTGGCGGACCTGGCATCGCCGCCCCGCCACGACAGCACTACAGCATCGGGCAGCGCGCTACGGATGAGGATGGGGATGCTAATACCGAGGTGGATGCTAGGTCTGGGGCAGTAGGAGACCCGGAAGTGAGGGGGGAAAGAGGGGGAGAAGAAGGAGAGGGAGGAAGTGGAAGAAGGATCACAGCAGAGGGGAAGAAGCAGGCAGGGGGGACGCTGCTGGTGATGCCGGCTTGGGACTCGAATTGCGGCGCGGAAGGTGAGGGGCTTACTCCAATTAAGGGGGGGGAGAGGACATGCGCAGGTGGAGTGTGGGGTGGATGCAGGGTTAAAAAAAACGGCCGTTTTATTGAAATTTTACCGTAAAAAACGGCCACTTAGTGGGACCAAATTGAACCCGAAATGCAGCAGCATGAAGGGGATGGACCCCTTCTTACATGTATGCGCTTGTTGGCATGATTGAAAATGTTTTTGACCTTGTTTTTCTCTTTTTTTTCTTGGTGAACAGAGTTCTCTAACAAAAAAACGGCCGTTTTTTTGAAAAATCACCGTAAAAAACGACCGTAAAAAACGGACCGTATTTTACGAAAACCGTAATTTTGAACCTTGGGTGGATGGGGTGGATGGGGTCCAGGTGTGCTTAGGTGACTTTTGAGTCGACTCAAAAGTCTCCAGGTGTGCTGCATGGCTGCGTATGTTGCGGGAAAATGTGAAACCACGGCACATGTGAGGGCCAGGCGAATGCTGGATCACAACAGTGCAGGCCCTGCTGGAGTCACCAGAGGCCTTCCTTAGCAGTACGCTACTGCTGCACGGCATAGTCACTTTTGTTGTTCATACTTCTCAAAACACTTCGTCGCTCATGCAACTCATACCCACCGATCTGCACCGATGTCTACCCACCACCTCGCAGAGCCCTTCCTGGGTGTGAAGCTCGCGACAGTGTTCCCCGGCAATGCCAGGCACGGCCTGCCATCGGTGGCAGCGAGCTACCTGCTCTCCTCTGCTGCCACCGGCGCCCCCCTTGCCCTCATGGACGGCACTGCCATCACACTCCGTCGCACAGCTGCCGCCTCTGCTCTCGCTGCACACTACCTCGCACGGTAAATGAGTCATTACTGCTTCCGCCCTCTAGCTCCCCTGATCCCCTCTCCCCTCTCTTTCTCAATCCCCCAAGGCTTCCGATCTCCCCCCATTTCCAAATTTCTAGCTCCAACCGCAGGAGATTACATGCATGCAGTTTCCGCCCCCCTCACTCTGCCGCTTTCTTCCCTCCCTGCAGTCGTGACTCCAAGGTGCTTCTGATGGTGGGCACAGGCAACCTTGCTCCCCATCTCATCCTCGCCCACCTCTCAGCCACTCCCTCCCTCCGCTCCGTGCTCCTCTGGGGTCGCACTCTCACCAAGGCCCAGCAGACAGCTGAGCATCTGGTCTCCTCTAACCCAAGGTTTCGTCTCATTGAGTCGGAGGGGAATTCCTTGACGGATTTATTGGAAGGGCAAGAAACGGGTGGGGTCTGTGTTCAGGTTGTGAGCGATCTAGAGCCTGCGGTGCGCTTGGCGGATGTTGTTTCATGTGCCACTCTTGCAACGGAACCACTCGTGTGTGGACGGTGGTTGAAGCGTGGAGCCCATGTGGATTTGGTTGGCGGTTTTCGTCCGGATATGCGTGAAGCGGATAATGATGTCATGATTGCAGCCAGAGGGTCGATATTTGTGGATGCGAAGGATGGTGATGCAATCACAGGGTCTGGGGACCTTATCAAGCCTATTTCCGGTGGGGCTATACTTGAGAAGGACATTGGAGGAGATCTCTGTGATCTATGTTCTGAACGTGTGCACGGGAGGAGAGCTAGTGAGGATATTACTGTCTTCAAGTCGGTAGGATTGGCCGTAGAAGACCTTGTAGCTGCCAAGCTTGTATGGAAGGATAGGGACTTGTAACGAGTTTTTTTTATTTATTTACTGCTATCTTGTATAGTTTCACAATTTACCCCAGAATGTTGGAAGCATTTAACTTAATCTTGGAGATTGATCCTAAAGAACGAGCTAATTTGTGGTTTATTCCCACATATCGTGGATGGTTTCACGGTTTATTCTCAAATCTCAGTGTTAATTTCAATGAGTAATTGTTTGTAGGATATGTATACATAACATCGTATCATTTGTCATGTATTTCTCGTCATGTTTTCAAATCCCCTTGAAATTGGCGCTCCTCAACTTTTAGTCCCAAGAAAATCAAGCGGCTCGAGAACTCCAATCTCGTCGAGCCAGGTGCAATCCCAAGGTCCAGCGCTGTCCCCGCCGGTGATTCCGCGACAGCCCCCAAGCGCCGCGCTTCGGCTTGTGATGGGTCACTTCACTGCCAGTCCGTGCCAAGTACAAATGTGAGAATATTGGAACCGATCAGTCAGTTGCTCTCGCAATCACCAATTTCAGCTCTCATCTGCTTCAGACATTGTCTGCCTTGAATCTGTGGGTAACACTACATTTTCGTACCAGCGACCATGGCCGGCTCCAACAACGAAGTTATTGTTCAGGCTGTTTCACAGCAGGTCGAGGAGAAGAAGGTCGATGCTGTTGAGAAGTCTTCAGAGGTACTTTTCTAGAACTCAATACTATTTGAAAGCTTTGTTTCTCTTTAACTCGAGAATGATATTAACAACGAATCTTGCCTTTGCAGGAAACAACGAACTCGCTAGAGGAAAAATCTTCGACTGACGTCAAGCCCTCCGCAAACGCGGACAGCGAGCCAGCGACCGACGACAAGGAGAAGAAGGATGACGAGACGACACCTGACAGTGACGTTGTTGAGGTTGAGGCTGAAAAGGTCCCTGAAGTGGCTGCTTCTGCGGATGCGATCCCTTCCACTACTGAAACGACTGCCGCCATTTCGACCAAAAGGAAGGCTGAGGCGTCGGAGGACGAGACAGGCGCCAAGAAGGTCTGCCTAGAAGCTGAGGCTTAGGTGACTTCTTGTGAAGCGAAGATACCTATGAGATCCTTGAAGGCTCAACAATCTCTGACATTTCTGACATGTAATTGTAAAAGTATCATTATTCCATGTATCTTTGATTATCCAACTTGCTGACCTGTACCATTATTTACGGAGCTATTAATAACCAGCGCCAACTTAAAAAAGTCGAACGCATCTAATACATGTCATTTCGAATATGCTCTATCATTCGAATAGACTCCTGGAGTTGACGAATCTGATCCAAGTACAACCACATGCTGGAATCCTCTTGTGCAGTGTCCCTTGCCTGAACGTCTTGAACAAGCGATAGACACTGCTTGACAGTGTTCAGCAACTCCTCTTCCTCTTGGAGGCTGCTCTCATGGTGATCAGCTCCAGTTTCTGGAAAGGCTGCTTCACGAAGCTTTGGCTCATTGATTCGCTCATCTGGAGGAGAAACTCTCTGGGAAGGAGTGTCTCCATAAACTGTCCCTGAAATAGCAGCCCCACTTCTGCTCTTCATGCGCTCCAGCACATCATGCTCAAGCTTCGCAGCCATGGCAGCTGCTCGCTGCACAACGCTCTCAGGCACCTGCAGACAACGAGACAGTGGCAATGAGAAGAGGTCGACGGATGAAAAGTCTTCAACAATTACAAGGCAGAAACCCATGGATGAATCTGCTTACACGACAGAAATAATTACCTGAGCAAGGCGGGCTAAATTCAGGCCGAAACTGCGGCTGGCAACCCCACGAACGAGCTTGTACAAGAAGGTGACCTGCTGATCCGGCTTCGTTTCTGCTTGCTCATCCGAACCAGATGCCACAGGATTTAACACCTGCGATGTTCCTCTTGCAGATATTGGTGATGTGGGTGATAGAGGGGGGGCTGGTGGAGCAGAGGCGAGGAAGGACATGTGAAAGCTTCCCATCGCACCCGGGAGCTCTTTTTCCAGCTGAGCGATTTCAGGGTAGTGTGTGACGAAGAGTGTGAGGCAACACACTTTGGATAAGAGGTACTGTGGATGGGACAGAGGGAGAGAGTGGACGGGAGAGAGGGGGGGCAGAGGAGGGGAGGAAGGGGAGGGTTCAATGGATGAAGAAGTCAGCCTTAAAAAAACGCAAGTTCATAATGTGATGATGACACTTTACCAAGAACACGAGATGAGCTCACATGCAGGATGGAATGGGCTCACATGCAGGGTGGCATAAGCGATGGCAACCCCATCATGGGTGCTGGTGCCTCGACCCAGCTCGTCCACTATCACCAGCGACCGACCCGTTGCCCGATGAAGAATCCCGGAAGCTTCCCCCAGCTCCTCCAGGAACGTGGACGTGCGGCGCGCCAGGCTGTCATTGGCTGCTCCCATGCGAGTCAGAACCGCGTCCAATACATGGAGGCGCGCTGAGTCTGCAGGCACGTAACACCCGATCTGCGCCATGATGCATATCAGCGCCACCTGGCAGATGTAACAGCTCTTGCCGCCCATGTTGGGACCAGTGATGACGTGGCACCTTTCACCATCCGACATCAGCATGGTGTCATTCGGTACAAACTCGCTCCCCATAGTCACATCCAGCACAGGGTGCCTCCCATTCGTTATAAGCACATTCTGGGCCCCACCTTCCGGAAAAAACTCCGGCCGAACATACCCCTTAGAAGCAGAAACAGCAGCAAGCGCACACAAACAGTCCAGCTCAGCTAGTGCCTTAACAGCTTGTCTCAACTCCACATGCCCCCCTCCCTCCGTCCTAAACCCTTCCAGCAGCTCCTGCCACGCCCTCCCTGCTGCCGCCGCTGCAGCTTCTTTTGCCAGCGCCAGCCTGTCCAATTCCGCGAGGACAGCTGGCGGGTGGTAACGCGTAACGCCTCCGGCCTTGCCAGCCTTGACGGCGCTGTGTTTGAGCCAATCAGAGGGGACTCGGAGGGCCGAGGGAACTTCGATGAGATGAGTGGCACCGGAAACGGAGAAGAAGGAGAGGGATGGGAGACGCAATTGGGACCGGATAGCCGGGAGGAGCGAGTTGAGGTGGCCCTCTGCCTCCCGCACTGCTTCTCTGCACGCCCAGAGCTCCGGAAACTGCAAGGAAGCTTCTGCTGCTTCCTCTTCATCCAGGGCGTCTCGAATGCGGTAATTGTTGCCGTGTTGCATATGCTCTTGCTGTTGCTGGCTCTGGTGAGCAGGAGCAGAGCACACAATGAGGTTCACCTTGTCTCCCCGGGCAGCAGCATCAGCATCCACGGCACTCCGCATCCGCCGGGCGTGCCGCACCACGGCTGGCGATGCTGCTGCCCTCAGCAGCCTCTGCAGCAGCACCGACTGCACCCTAGGCGTGTCACTGCTGCTGTCAGGGTCGGTGTCAGTAGCAGCAGCAGTGGCGGGGGTGGAATGAGGTGGGTCGGGGAGGAGGGGGCGCAGCTGCTGTGCTGCTGACGCCAGAGCTGAGAGGACTCGGACAAACTGAGGGGCATGTGGGGGGGTGGGAGAAAAGGGGGGTTGGGGAATGGGAAATGGTGACACAAAGGGGTCCTCTCCTGCTCCAACCAAAATGCCTCGTTTTCTAAACTTGTTACGAACCAGCTGACCCCAGCTGGTTCGTAAACTTGTGCAGTATCCGCGTCTCTGCAGTATCCGCGTCAACCCCCTCTCCACATCTCCCATGCGTGCCAGTGACCCTAGCACTCTTGACTTTTGAGTCAACTCAAAAGCCACCTACGAAGCCCACCCACCTCGTTGGGAGTGACCGTTTTGTGCAGTATCCGCGTGACTCCCCTCTCCACATCCCCCATGCGCGCCAACGACCCCAGCACTCCCCCCACCACCTCCCCCACTCCCCCCTCCCCCTCCCCCGCTCCCCTGCTCGCCGCCCCCACTGCCCCCCCTCCCCGCCCGCTCCCAGGAAACGTCCGAGAAACGCCAACCACTCGCCCCAGCGAGCCAGTGAGCGGAGAGGAGAGCGAGGGGGAGGAGGAGAGGAGCTCGGAAACGGCTTGTTGGCGAAGGGTGATGTGGGGGAGGCGTGTGAGGGGGTGGGTGACCCAGTGGCGCATGAGTCGCCCCCCTGCTGCTGTGAGCGCGTGGTTGAGCAGCCAGAGGAGGGAGCCCCGTGTGGTACCATCTGCACTGTTGTGGAGAATCTGAGACATTCGAGGGGGCGGGGGGGGGGGGATTGCAACGGGAGGGAGGCACGAGAGGCGGGTAAGGGGGAAGGGGAGAGGAGCTCGGAGACGGCTTCTTGGCGGAGGGTGATGTGGGGGAGGTGCGTGAGGGGGTGGGTGGTCCAGTGATGCATGAGTCGCCCCCCCATGGCTGTGAGCGTGTGGTTGAGCAGTCAGAGGAGGGATCTGCGTGTGGTTCCGACTTTTGAGACGTCTCAAAAGTCGCCCCCCCATGGCTGTGAGCGTGTGGTTGAGCAGTCAGAGGAGGGATCTGCATGTGGTTCCGTTTGCACTGTTGTACAGGATCTTTTGGGATCTGCGACGTCCAGGGGGAAAACGGGGAGGAGTGTGGGGAGGGGGGAAAGGAGACTTCACTAGGGGGGCGCGCCTTGGTTCGCGTGCGCGCCTTGGTCCACGCGCGCGCCTTGGTCCAAAGGAGCGACCTGGTTCAAGGGAGCGACTTGGTTCAAGGGAGCGACTTGGTCCAAGGGAGCGACTTGGTCCAAGGGAGCGACTTGGTCCAAGTGGGCGAGTGCTTCTGAGAATATCTAGAAGGGGGGCTTTAAGGGGCTTTAAGGCTTACCTCGAGCTGCTCGAGAGCATTGGAGGAGAGAGTCATCTGGTGGCCGGTGCAGAGAGGACGAAAGCCGCCGCCCAGTGCGAGCACGTGGTGCAGGTTGAACTCCCTCAGATAGTCCACAGCAGCAGCGAGCGCTCTGAGCAGCACCAGTGGCATGGAGAGCACCGCCTCCACTGCCGGATCCACCTCCTGCTGCTCATCCTGTTGACGCTCCGGCTCCTGCTGCTCCTCCCTCTCCTTCTTCCTCTCTCCATTCCCTTCCTCATGCCCCTTGTCTGCGTCCTCAGTACAAGCAGCCCCGTTTGGCCTCTCAGCAAAAAACTCGGCGAGAGCTGCACGCACCCCACACATGCTGCTGCCGCTGCCTCTGCTGCTGCCACCACCCCCACCACCACCACCGCCCCCAGACTTCCCAGTCTTCCCAGGGCCTCCCCCACCCACGGCAGCACCAGTGATCCCATCGCTCCCTGCCATTGTGATTCTTGGTGCGGGGTCCCGACATGAAAGGTACGACAGCAGCTGATGGGGGGAGGGGGGGGGCAGGGGCAGTGAGGGAAGTGAGGGCAGTGAGAGGGTAAGGAGAGGGCATATTTCAAGTTACTCAGGCTACACAGCATAATCAGGGCAGTCACCTTGTGAGTGGCTGGCGAGATGGGCCCGCACATGACGATCTCAGTGGGGGCGAGGTGGGCCAAGTGGGTCTCTCTCAAGCTCACCCCACAGCACCCAATCTATGAAGCACCCCTGTGCCACGTCGCCTGTTGACGTCTCCACTGCCACCGCCGCCAGCAGAGCGCACTCCTCAGAGGCAGTGAGGGCAGAGAGGACTCACCTTGTGTGTGGCTGCTGAAATGGGTCCAGTAAGAACCACTTCAGTGGGGGCGACGTGGACGAGGTGCGTTTCCAGCTCCCCCCGTAGCACCCCGTCTGAGAAGCACCCCTCTGCCACGTCGATCGCCTGTTGACGACTCTACCACCTTTTGAGTCCACTCAAAACACACCTCACCTTGTGAGTGGCTGGTGTAATGGTTCCAGTAAGAACCACCTCAGTGGGGGCGAAGTGGGCTAGGTGCGTCTCAAGTTCCCCTCGCAACACCCCGTCTATGAAGCACCCCTGTGCCACATCGCCTGTTGACGTTTCTACTGCCACCAGCCCTATCCGCACGTCGCCCTCCGAACCTGCCTCCGAGCCTGCACCCGAGCCTGCTCCCGAACCTGCTTCCCAGCCTTGAGACGAGTCCAGATCTGTGGCTGGTGGGGAGAGGCCGGGAGAGGAAGCAGCAGCAGCACTGCTTGCTACCACCAGCACCTCCCTTCCCTCCTTCCTTCTTCCCCTTCCCTTTCTCTCCAACACCCTCCTCCGCAATACACACCAGGTAACTACTCAGCCTTCCCCCCATCCCCCCTCCCCCTCCCCCACCCCCCGCCCCTTCCCCCACCCCCCCTTCCCCTCCCTCTCCCCCTTCCCCTCCCCCTCCGCCCAAATCCTCTCCCACTTCCAACGTTGCCCGCGTGTATAAAGCCGACAAATGCCGCCCGAACGGGCCACCCTTGTTGCTCCCGTGGGCTTTAATAGCCGCCGTCTCACTCTGCCGCACCACGCCCACCTTAAAGCCCGCCTCCACGAGCCGCCTCACGTGCACGTGCAGGCGGAACGTGGGGATGGACGCAGTCAGAAACGCCCTGTCCACGTGGCGGTAGATGCCCAGCACGCGCGCTGCCACTTCAGCATCGGCCCCGAAAAAACGGTACTTGTAGCCGACCTCGACCAATAGCAGCACGTCTGGGTGGCGGCGTTTGAGAGCCACGACCTGCTCTTCTAACGGGGTGAGCTTTGTGCCTGGCAGGGGCAGGCTTATACCGGGGATGAAATCGCTGCCGTCTTTGGTGGAGGCAGCGGGTGTGAGGTGAGGAGCGGAAGGATGGAAGTCAAGTTTTTGAAGGAAGCTGGCTCGGATTGAAGCGGCAGCAGCAGAGGCAGCAGGAGCAGCAGGTGCTGCTACAAGGGCCTTGGCCACTTCTCCTTTCGTCAGTTTCTCTCTCCTCTCTGCGTTTTCATCCTCCCATGTCCCTCTCCCTGCCCCTGTTCCCACCTCATCTGCCCCTGTGTTTTCCCCCCTTCCTCTCTTACTCTCCCTTTCACCTTCCCCCCACTCGTCCTCCCCCATCCGCGCCCCGATCCCTTTTTCTTCCCCATCCGCCCCATCCACCTCATCTGTTCCCCCATCCAAGCCCCCATCCTCCACTAATCTCCGCGCTGCCCGCCTTCCACCCTCCCGCTTACGCTTGAACACCGTTCCTCCGCCTTCAACCTCCGCTTCTACCTCATCCCCCGTCCCCTCCGCCTTCCCCTCCGCCCCCCAATCTTTTCCGCCCCCACTCTCCTGCTCTCCCCTGCTTCCTGTCCTCCGCCACTCACGATCCTCTCCAGCTGCCCCCACGGCTCCCCCATTCTCAGTTTCCGCTTCCGCCAATCCTATCTCTCTCAAAGCTCCGCTACCACCGCCGCCACCACCACGACGATCACCGCGATCGACGGCAGCGAAGGTGGCGGCGGATGCGCGCGGCGGGCGGAGGAGGGACGGCGGAGTGGTGACGCGGACGGCGCCCGGCGGCTGTGAAGGGGAGGGGACGGGGGAGGGGGAGGTGGGCAGCGGGTTTGGCCGCGCTGGGGACGGCTTGCGCGCGAAGAAACGAGAGATGGTTGCCTGCTGGCGCTTCATTGCTTCCGCGCTCTCATCAGTTGCTCTGTGGTTCATGAAGTTGAACAAATTATAAGTGCACTAATAAAAACAACTGCGAGCCTTAACATGGGTGCTTGGTCTAGTGGTATGATTCTCGCTTCGGGTGCGAGAGGTCCCGAGTTCGATTCTCGGAGCACCCCATCTTTGATTTTTCGAGGTCCAGTTTTTTCTTTATGCGGGGGTTTTGGTGTGATTATGCAGAAGGCGCTTTTTGGAAAGAGCCCAGGGCACAGTGAACGGCGCAATTCACCGCAACGCACGACTCTGTAACATTCCGACCCACGCTCCTGATCTCGGCCAATCACAGCCTCCTGCTGGAAATCCGCCCTCACATTACGGCGCTCCGGACACAGACTCTCGTTGCCCTCCCGCACTTCCCGCCGCACTTCCAGCCGCACTTCCGGCCGCACTTGTGGCCGCGCTTACGCATGAGCGCACAGGGGGAAGTCTTCTGTCCGCTCGCGCTGTATGAGGCGCGCTCCTTCGCACTCGCCTAGCCAAGACGACGCGCAGCAGCGTTCGGACAATCGCCCTCGCCTGCTCGCTTCAACTGCTCGCGCGCTCGCCTCCAGGCGCCTTGAAACCCCGCGCTCGTGCCGTCAGCGCGCTCTCCCCGCGTGCCGTCAGCGCGCTCTCCCCGCGTGACATCGGCGCGCCATGGATCTGACGTCGCCCATCCGCCTCGCCAATGGCGCCTCCATGCCCCGCCTCGCCTGTGCGCCCTCCCCCCTATTCATCCTCCCCCTTCCGCCTTACCTCTATCCACCCTCCCCCTTCCACCATCCCCCCTGTTCCATATCCCCTCCCTCCGCCTTTCCCTTCCTCCGCATTGCATGTGCCTTCCATGCCCATCTCCTCGGCCGTCCATTCATTCCCCACATACGCCCTTGGCCTTGCTCGTTTCCACCCACTGCACTTCTTTCTCTCCCCATTCCCACCCTCGCCTTCCACCTCTCCCCCTCTCCCACACTTCCAACCTCCCCACCCTGTCACGCCGCCCCCCTTCCCTCCCTGCCTCCCTCCCTGCCTCCCTCCCCGCCTCCCTCGTTGCCTCTCCTCTCCACCCTGTGTGCCTGTGTGCATGCATGCGTGCATGTGTGTGCAGTGGGCACATTCAAGGCCAAAGGGGGGGAGGTGAAGGAGGCAGTTAAAGCAGCCTTGGCGGCTGGATACAGGCACATAGGTGGGCACATGGGTGGAAACATGGGTGGGCAGATGTCTTGTGCTTTATCACAGAAATCACTCGGCCCACTCGTTTCATCTAAGGGCTGTTATACTCTTTCAATGCAGATACTGCATCAGTGTACAAGAACGAAGCGGAAATCGGGGAGGCTATTAGGGAGTACGGCATTGCGAGGGAGGAGGTTTTTATCACCTCCAAGGCCTCGCCTTACGAGCATGGGTGAGGGTCATGCTGTGTGTACGGGTGTCCACGTCACTGCGTGCATGTGTGCACTCAATCACATGCCCACGGCATGGACTCACTCACTCACTCACCCACACACTCACTCACTCACTCGCTCACTCACTCGCTCACTCACTCGCTCACTCACTCGCTCACTCACTCGCTCACTCACTCACTCACTTGCTCTCCCTCGCTCTCCCTCACACCAGGTTCCAGCAGGCTCTAGCAGCATGTGCTGCATCCTTGGAGCGTCTGCAAACAGAGTACCTGGTGAGTGTGAGTGAGAGGAAGAGGGAGAGGGAGAGGGTGTGTGAGAGTCAGATGATGTGCGCGAATTTGAGAGTGTGTGTGAGTCGGTGTGCGCATGTGCTGCGTCCTTGGATCGTCTGGATCATCCTCACACTCCTCTTCCCCCCCCTCCCTACTCACCTCATCCCATGTGCCTTGCCCCTGGGTCCACCGTCCGCCCCCTCGACCCCTATTAGGACCTCTACCTGCTGCACTGGTGCGTGTGCCTCTTCCCCCCTCACCCTCGTTCCTTACCTTCGCCCATTTCCTTTACCGTGTCCATTCCATTTGCCTCGCACTGGTGTTTTCCCTTCTCTCGCCCTCGCCCTCGCCCTCGCCCTCGCCCCCTTTGCCTTGCCGTCGTCCGTTCTCCCGCCATCACTTGTGCCACCACTCTCTTGCCTCTCCATTTCCGCGTTCTACTCGGTCCATTTCTCTTGCGTGTGTGCCAAGCTTGACTGTCCACCACAATCAACTCATCCCTCTCACGCACCCATGCTTGCGTTGTGATTTGTCTACCTCCCTCCTCTCTCATCTCCTCTCCCTCCCCTCTCCTCTCCTCTCCCTCCTCTCTCCTCTCCTCCCCTCTGCTCTCCTCTCTCCCCTCCCTCACTCCCAGGCCTGGAGTAGCGAAGCTAGATAGGTGAGTGATTTAGCTCTTCCTTGCTCCCTTGCCATTCCTGACCCTCTGTTATTCCTGCTCCTCTTGCCCCTGCCTGGTCCTCGTGTCCCTTTGTTTCCGCTCGAACCCCGTAACCCTCATGTAGTACGACGTCTCACAACTCTGTTACCCCCCGTTCACCTTCCTCTCTTCCTTCTCCCCTCCTCCTGCCTCCTCAGGGCGTCTGAGAAGAATGCGGAGATTCGGCTGGAGTCTTGGCGCGCTTTGGAGCAGCTTCAGAGAGAAGGTGGGTGGAAACGGAGGAGTGGAGGAGAGTAGAGGGAAGGGGAACCTAAAGGGAGGGGAGAGTGGGGATGAGGGTAGGAGGGGGAGGAGAGGGGTAGAAGGGAGTCGAAGAGAGGGAAGAAGTGACTGGGAGAGGAAACAAGTGAGAAGTTCATATTTTCTTATTGATTTCTTCACACGCTATGGCATATCCCACTATTATGTATAGCACATACCTCCTCTCCTTTCCCAGGTAAATGCCGCGCCATTGGAGTCAGCAACTTCACTGCCGCCCATCTGGACCACTTGATCACAAACTCTGCCGCCCCGCCAGCTGTCAACCAGGTGGAGGTGCACCCGCTGCTGACTCAGCAGTCTCTGCGAGCCTACTGTGCTGAGCGTGGCATCTGTGTGGCAGCTTACTCACCCCTAGGGTGTGGCCAGGTGAGTCTCTGTTGGTACCAGGTGGGCCTCTGTTGCTACCAGGTGGGTCTCTGTTGCTACCAGGTGGGTCGGGCTTTGGCACCTTTGGGTGAGGTGACATGCGTGTAAAATTGGTACGAAATAATACCGTCTGAGATCAGTGTGGGTCATGCAATGCACACTGCCTTGACCAGTAACCGGCTTCTGAATTACTTGCACAATGTACAGCTGGATATTTAAATTTCTTCCACAAAGCTTTTGTGGTATGCATTGAGGCGTCAATATTATGTTCCATTTTTCGTACGTGTGTGTTCTCTCAGCTGTTGCAGCATCCAATTGTGCAGCAAGTGGCAATGGAAGTTGAGTGGTCACCTGCTCAAGTGCTGCTCAGGTGGAGCATACAGCATGGAATGGGTATGTGTGTCCTATCTACATGCTTCAACCTGTCTGGTGCTTATGCTGCCATTCATCACCGGCCCAAATTTTCCGCATATTGACCGTCCAACACAAGTCCTCTCCTCCCCCCCTCCCCCCTGCCTTGCTTGTATTGTACCATATGGATGGCCAGTTACAATACCCAAGTCTGTGAGCACAAGCCGGGTTGCAGAAAACGCTGACATATTTGATTTCTCATTGGACAAGGAAAAGATGGATAAATTGGATTCATTAGATGAAGATCGCCATTTTTGCTGGTCACCCATTGGGATTGCATAGAATGATAAAACCCTTTACAGACTCGCAGTACGTGCTCGTAGCTAATTGATTCCACCTGCTGAACCTGTTTCAAACGCGTACAGCAAGACAATTTCGAGGGGAATGGGGGACCACTTTCACTGGCGTACGTGGCCCATGCCACGCCAGCAGCCCCTCGTTCATGAGCTGGCCAACTTCAAGGTTTTGTCTGCTTGGGTCCACGCACTCTGCCCCTGCTTGGCCCCTTGTTCCCCCCAGTTTCTTCCTCGACCTTCTCTTTTCTCAGCCAATCAGCGTCACTGCTTTCACATAACCTCTCTCAATTGTCCCAATTTCTACAGCATACAATTCTGTCAGTCATTTTCTTCGTGTTGCTTCCTTCTCCTACATAAAGCCGCCGTGTTGTCTGACCGTTTCGCGTTCCGTATTCCGTCGGAGCTTGTCGTTTCTTCGTTAGGGTCAGGTTTTCCTACTAGTAGGCCGATCTCTGCGAAGAAGGAATCATGCAGGCTCCTACGGTTGACGCGGAATACTTGAAGGAGATTGAGGCGGTCAGGCGAGACTTGCGAGCGTTAATCGCGGAGAAAAGCTGCGCTCCGCTTATGCTCCGCTTGGCGTAAGACACTGGACCTCGTCACATCTTTTTTAAACGGTCTATCAATTATTACGAGAGACAGCAATGCGATTGTGTTGTGTTCCTGCGCATGTGAATTGAATTTAGGTTCCACGATGCTGGTACTTATGACGCGAAGACGAGAAGTGGCGGACCGAATGCGTCGATCAGAAGCGAGCTGGAGTACACTCATGGCGGAAACGCAGGGATGAAGATAGGCATCGACCTGCTTGGTGAGCTTACAATGTAATTTTCGTAATCCACAGGGATGGTGGCGGATTAGCACTCATTGGCATTGTTTCCTGTCTGCAGAGCCGGTCAAGGCGAAACATCCACGAGTATCATACGCTGACATCTACCAGGTGCGGTTTTCGTTCCGACCTTGTCTTTTGTGCACATTTGCCTTTTATTGCCCTTCTTCTGGCATGTCAACTCAGTGCTGTTTTGATTGAGCAGCTAGCTGGCGTGGTAGCTGTTGAAGTAACTGGAGGTCCTGCCATCCCTTTCAAGGCCGGCCGAAAGGTGAGCTCAATCACAGCCTCCATGTTGTCTTGTCTTCATGTGAGCGTTCTTGTGCTCACAACTCATTCTTTGCCTCTCTGGGCGCTGGTTGGGCAGGACTCTCTGGCTGTCACTCCTGACGGCAGGTTGCCAGATGCTCATAAAGGTGTGTGATTTCAGGCGAACATTGTCCACAGCTCGTAGTCTTGAAATGTGCGTCGTGGTATTGGGGGATTCGTGGTTGTTTGTGAGCATTTTAGTCCTCATTATAATGCCGCCCTTCTGTTTCAGGATCCGCTCACCTACGAGATATATTTTGCCGCATGGGGTTCAGCGATCAAGACATTGTTGCATTGAGTGGATCACACACTCTGGTAAGGCACGGCTCAAACTCACATCCTTGCAAACGTACGAGACATTGTGTAATTGAACTTTGAATGTGGACGCAGGGGCGTGCACATAAGGACCGTTCAGGCTTTGAGGGGGCATGGACTCAGCAACCACTGAAATTTGACAACACCTACTATGTGTAAGTTAGAACAACCGAGACAGGGTTTTAACTTTGTTAGAATGTTTTTGTTGTGTCAGAGGTGTGTGTTCCACTCAGGCAGTCTGTGTAACCATAACTTTCCCCCCTATTGATGTCGCCACCCCAGTGAGCTCTTGAAAGCAGACACTGCAGGACTGCTCCAGCTTCCGACGGACAAGTGCCTCGTAGAGGACCCCAAGCTTCGTCCATTTGTTGAGCTGTATGCAAAGGTAAGCAAATTGAGGACTTGGCAGTTCAGTTATTGTAACTGCAAGGGGTTGGAGGGTGTATCATTATTTTTTGGGTGCATGTTACTTTCTCTTGCAATTTGCAGGATGAGGAGGCGTTTTTTAGAGACTATGCATCTGCACACAAGAAAATGTCTGAGCTTGGGTGCAAGGATACCTCTCCAGCTTTCTGGGAAGCTGATGCTGCAGCCAAGGAGAATGTTAGTGCATCCACCATCTTGGCCCAAAGCGCTTTTGGTGCCGTCGTCACTGCCGGAGTTCTTGTACTGGGGTACCTTTATGAGCTCCGGCGGAAAGCCAAGTGATTGCTGAATAGTTTGACAACGTTACCAGCATTTTTCCATTCCCTACCACATTGCCACTACTGCTCCCATAAATTTGTACCTAGGTTTCGTGGACCTCCTGACTCCTCCTGAGCTTTATGAGAATTTCAGGAACGATGATACTTGGTTGCTAATGTGCCTACGGTATATGTATCCTGGGTGCTGGAAAATTTAGTGCAATGCCATGTATCCTTTCAGCTCTTCGTCTGATAGTGTTAATTGAAATTTGAATGGCCCGTTTGATGAACAAATGTACGGTTGTCATGAAGGGAGTGAGTCCCACCATTTCATGAAGCATCTCACACGAGACCGTACCGAGCCACGTTACAGCGAGAAACCGCCGAAAGGTTTCAAATTGAGAGGATTTGTCAGACTTTTGGCGCGCAACTTCTGTCCAATCAGCCCTCGAGCATGTCAGAAAACCTCCACACCAACGAAGTGGGGCCCACCAGTGACTACCATGTCACGCCATTCCCTTGCTGTCAGGCGGCTGTGCTGCTTTGCTTTCCCCAGCGGTGGAACCCCGAAGGCATTCCCCACCAAGGCTTTCGTCTCTGGTCATTGCTCAGAATGCAAGTCACGAGACCTGGTAGCTTTCCTCGGAAGATTAGTCCTCTATGTTGCCGACTTCGTCCCTTAGATTCTGCAATAGCACGGCAACGGTTTGATCTCATTAGACCAAAGAGATTTAGTCATGAGGATATAGAAACCACTCTTGAATAGTAATCGAGTACTTGTCGATAGCCTGTGGTTCCTGAACCGGTTCTAACTGTTACTAGTTCACGGCTTAGCTTTCGCATTAATCAGCTCCCGGCTGGTGCTTCTTTGCGATAATGTTATACCTTAAGCTCCTCAAGCAAAGACCATGTCGTTTTCGATTTCATTTACCGAGGGGTGACTTCCGGAAGTAAAGGCCTAACCGCTGCTCGTGGTAACGTAGATTCCGCTAGGCTTGCGTTGATACAGTTCACTCCGAAAAGGATTTATCTCTTATGCACCGTCGCACGCTGCAGTACGACGGTGCCATACCCAGCAAGGTTTCTTCGCGAAAAGCCTTGCGACGGTCGCGACGGTCTGCAGATAGCAGCTTCCGCGTCCTTCCAGATATCGTCTTCCGAGTCATGTGGGGCTCGTGCAACGGAGCGGTTGTTTCAGTGAGTCTTAGGAGAGCGAGAAGAGCTGCTTCCTGCGTATTCGCTCCATCGTCGAAAGTGCGCAGAGTGCTGCTTCCCGAAACAAATGGTTGTCAACACCCGTGAGACCGACGCAGCGGTTGAAGGAGTATCGACGTCAGCCGTCTACCAGAAAGCACTGACGGTCGGCCGTCGGAATTGCCGGCCGGGAAAAACGCAGCCATGTTTGGAGTACGAATCAGCGGCGGGAAGAGCAGCGTTCGCAGCTGTTCGTAAGCGGTAGCAGAAGTGTTCGCCGAGCGGCATCGCAAGCAGCGATTTTCATTCCGATTTCTGGCCGTCAGGAGGTGGACGTTTACATGCATCAAAACGGTCAACAGGACGTGACCGTCAGGAGCAGCGTGACGCACCGTCAGGAGCAGTGTGACGCACCGTCAGGAGCAGCGTGACGCACCGTCAGGAGTAGCGGGACGCAGGTCACGGGAGATTGCTCTCTGCCGTACACCATGATGATCGCATGCGGTCGCATCGGCTTCCTCGGCGTTCCCTGGGATTTCGCACGCGATTAACGGTACTTGATAGCGAAGGCTGTTGGGGGGGAATTCCTGTAGGCATCTAGGATAGGAACGCCTAGAGATTCTCGTCGCTTTCCCCATTCGCGTCATGTTTGAAACCACCCTCCCACTAACGCGAGTACGTTCCTTCTCCTTGTTCTCCCCTCTGCATGTGTGCGATTAACTCGGAGGCACGGGATTCGGATCGTCGCCATCTCTTATGCGTCTGACAAAGGTTGCGCCAAACACTTTCAGGGAGATCGCAGACGTCGTTTGAAGTTCGCAGGCGTCGTTTGAAGCTCGCAGGAGTTCGCTTGGAGATCAGCGAAAGATCAGCGGTACGTAAGAGTGACGCTTGGTGGGGGGATTCCTATAGGCGTCTAGGAAAGAAACGCCTAGAGAGTCTCGTCGCTCTCCTCGTTCGCGTCGTGTGTAAAGTTACTCTCCCACTAACGCGTGTACCCTGCCTCTCCCCCTGTCCTCCTCGTTCCCCCCTCTGCATGTGTGCGATTAACACGGAGGCAAGGGATTTGGGCCGTCACAATCCCTGCAGTGTCGGACATTCCAGGAGTCGCCAGACGTCGTTCGAAGATCTCGGGCATTCTTTGGAAAGTCTCAGGCGCTCGCCCGGAAATCGCAGGCGATCAGGGAAAATATCAACTGTACGTGAGAGCGGATGCAGTGGGGGGGTGGATTTCTGTAGGCGTCTTAGAATAGGAATGCCTAGAGAGTCTCGTCGTTTTCCGTCTTCGCATCATGTGTGAATCTACCCTCCCTTTAACGCGTATACCATCCCTCTTCCCCTGTTCTTCTCGTTTCCCCCCTGCATGTGTGTGTCGGAGGCACGGGAATCATCGCTGCAGCGTCTGAACGAGGTCGCACCTTAGAATCGAACGACGTCGTTCGAAGTTCGCAGGGGTTCCCAGCGTTCAGTGAGAGATCAACGGTACGTAAGTGCGAAGGCTGGTGGGGGGGGTCATGTAGGCGTCTAGGACAGCACCGCCTAGAGAGTCTCGTCGCTCTCCTTCGCATCATGTGTGTAATCACCCTCCCACTAACGCGTGTATTCCCCCCTCTCCCTGTCGTCCTCGTTCTCCCCGCTGCATGTGTGTGATTAACTCGGAGGAACGGTCTTCGACGGTCGCCTTTGCTGCAGTGTCCGACATTCGTTGGGCGTCGTTCCAATCCAAGTTCGCTGGCGTTCCTTTGAAAATCGTAGGCGCTCGCTTGGACATCGCAGGCGATCAGGGAAATATCAACAGTACGTAAGAGCGAAGGCTGTGGGGGAAGGGGGCGTCTAGGATAGGAACGCCTAAAGAGTCGCGTCACTTTCCTTCTTTGCGTCATGTGTGAAATTTCCCTCCCACTAACGCGTGTACCCTCCCTCTCTCCCTGTTCCCTCGTTCTCCCCTCTGCGTGTGTCTGCGAGCGTCCCGTGTGTCCCGTCAGTGACGAGAGCAACGACTGCAGCAGCAGCAGCAGCAGCAGCAGCAGCAACAACCGATCATAACGCCTGAAGTGAGGGCGTGGCACAAAAGCCGCAGAGCAGCGGAGCCGCAGAGCATGCGTGGTATGTGCCAGGAGGTGCTTGAAGGGGGGAGTGTGGTGAGTCGTAGAGCGTCGCTGCGCAGAGGCAAGAGTCGTGTCTCTTGCTTTTGAATCCGCCACTCCCCTCCTGCTGTTTCTCACCCGCCCTTGTTGGTGCCGCTTCTGTGTGCGTGTCTCTCTCCCCATGCGTGTGTGTGTGTGCCTCACGGCCTGCGAGCATGGGCAGCCGGAGCAACGGAGCAACCTGGAGCAACTTGGAGCAGCAGGCGTGAAGGGAAGGCGTGGTGCAGGAGTGGCAGAGCAGCGGACAGAGCATGGTACGTGCCAGGGGGTGCTTGCAGGGGGCAATGTGGTGAGTCGTAGAGCGTCGCCGCGCAGAGGCAAGAGTCGTGTCTCTTGCTTTTGCCTCCACCACTCCTCTCCTGCTGTTTCTAGCCCTCCCTTGTTGGTGCTGCTTCTGTGTGCGTGTCTCCCTCCCCATGCGTGTGTGTGTGTGCCTTCGTGTTCTCCCTCTTCCCTTCGTATGTGAGAGCAAATACTTTCAGCTGCTTCCGCCTCTGTGGATTCCCCCTCCACCTCCCTTCCTCCCCCCATCGCAGCCCCAACCTCCTTATTCGACGCGATTGCCGGGCCGCTTCGTGTGGGGTTGGATGCGGTGCACAGGGAGATGCAGTTTGCCGCCCAGTCGCAGCTCAGGCGGTCCACTTAGGACCGATGCGGCTGGGGAAGCCGCCGTTCGAATTGCCAGAGTAAGTCATGGTTGAGGACAGAGGGGCGATAGAGGGGGGGGGGGAAAAGGGGGGGAAGGGGGGGGGGAGGGGGAGTAGGGGGATAATTCCTTCCGCTCGGACTGCCAGAGTGTACGGTGGGGAAGGGGCAGAGGGGGGAGACAGGAGGGGAGGCACGAGGCAAGGCACCTGGCGTCGATCCTCAGTAGGCACGTGCACCGCCTCATATGTTCCCTCTCCATCTCTGCACCTATTTGCACCTCTCTGCACCTCTCTGCACCTCCTTGCACCTCACACAGGGATCTCCTCCCCAGCCTGCCGCCCTTCACAGCGGGCGCATTGGAGTCGGTTTTCAACCGCCTGCCAGGTGGCACGTCCTGCTTTGAGCTTGCAGGCCCTACCGTGCAGCGCCTGCCAGCCAGGGTGCACCGGTCGCTGGAAGCAGGCATGCCTGAGGCGCTCTTTCAGGC